ACAGCAAGGCCCAACAGCCAAGTTCAGCTGACAGCCACCGTATAAAACGCAAAGCTCGTATCGGCCTCGCTCTGCGTTTGCGCTGAGCGGAGCAGGAGGGTGTGCGGAGGAGCGGCGGGTACAGCGGAGGGCACCGAGTGGAGCACAGACCCGCGCGCTTGCAGGATGCACGGACAGGCTTTTCTCTCTTCTTCCCCTCTCCTCCCATAAAATTAGGCAAGAGACACATTTTCATGACAGTTTGCTGAAATGTGCACTCCCTGCTGATTTGACATTGGGCAGAAAAAGTGTCTACAGAATCAATTTTTAATAAATGTAAACAACTAAATTATGAATAACAAAAATATCACTGAACAGTTAAATATTAATCATGTAATTACTTAAATTAATACTTTTAGTGCAATGTTGTGATAGAGAGTTTTACTTACGCGGTGTCACTGTGCTGGCTGGGTGGGTGAGGGGAGGGAATGGGATCGCGGTGGCTCCCCGGCAGTGGGGCTCGGGAGCGGGGGGCTCTGCTGGTGCTTGCCACAGCCCCAGCTGCTGGTTGTCCCACAGGTCCCACAATACCGGGTGCTCCTCTTGAAGCCTCTGGAACCAGATTTGTTAAGAAAGAACTTCCGTTTTCTGTTCAAAAACAGAGCTGTCAAGAAAATGGCTAAACTGGCCCCAAACCAGAAAGCACACCCCCCTCCCCAAAAAACTTTCCCATCCCAAAGTGCTGTTAAACCCTCCAACAGTGGTGTGTGATGTACAGAGCCGTGGCTGTGCTCAGTGATGATCTCAGGAAGACCAAGGGTGCTCCAGGGGGAGTTGGGGGTGCAAAAAGCCCTGGCTGATTCTAAGATGGAGTTTGGTGAGTTTATGGATGAGACGGTGTGCCGAGAGCTCTGCCATGGGGGCTGGAGTCACTGCCCTGTGGGCCCCCTCGGTGCTCCCATCTCGACAGGCGCTGCAGGGAACTTGCGTGGTGGAAACCTGGTCGCCAGCATTACGGGGGGTGTGGGTAGCAGCAGCCGTCTGTAGGTACTTGCATGCAGCGTGCGGCTTCCTCCCCTGCCCAAGAAACTAAGAAAAGAATTTACTGGCGCTCTTGTCCTTGTGGGTTGGCTGGCTGCATTGTTTGTTTTTAATCTAATAAAAGGAGATCTTAATATCATAGTAAAATCGGTACAAAGCTAGAAACTCGCCCTTTGGCGTTTTGGCGAAACATTATTGAAAATGTAAAAGCCTTCAGCAGCACAGAAGCACAAAGAAATTGTAGAAATAGGATCAACAGGTCGTGTTCTGGATGTTGGGAGGAGCGGGGAAGAGCATCCAGCCGGGGCTTGAGGTGCCGGTGAGACCCACTAAGCTGGAGGCCGGACGCCAACCCCGTTGTGGCTCCGCTCCGCAGGGACGTGATGCAGCAGTGGCCGGGAGCAGGGCCCCTCGAGGGTTGGGGTGGGCAGCGCTACGGAGCGGTGGCTAGGCGGTCGGGAAGAGCACGTTGCCGGGAGGGCAGGAGCAAGTGAGGAGGAGGAACAGACGGCTGGGAAGAGCAGTGCACTGGGAAGATGGTGTGAGCTTAGTGGGACCTGGCCGGGGAGGTGGAGGCAATGGAAAGGGAAGCTTGCCATCCTTAGGCTTGCAACTGCTTGGATTGATGCTGGCTTAGTCTGCTCCCTGTCTGGAAATTCAATCTTGGACAGAAATTTTAAGAGTGTTTTTAAGTTAGAAAGTGAAGCATCTCTTGCCAAAGGGAGGAATGGTGAGGAAGCGTTCATTGCTCAGACTCACCCATCTCTGTAGGATCCAAGTGTGGCTCCTTTTGCCTCGTCTCTGTTTCGCTGTGCCTCCCACCTCCTTCACAAACATCACTGGAAGTACCATTCCCATGTGCCATAAGCAAGTGCTTCCAAAAAATGTCATTACCCAATTTGTCCACCAGTACAGTACTGGGCACCGTGACTGCTCATAAAAACAACCATTTTTGGGGTGACTACTGCCCAATCTGAGAGCTGCAGCCACTCCCCACGACTTTAACTCACATCACATGGCAGGGCGCTGGAGGGAGCAGCATCCTGCTGGAATGGTACCTAATTTCTGATTGAACATCAACAAGCTTGCACCGTGCAAAACCATTCCCATCCCCGTGCACTTGCTGACTTGCCAGCTCTCTGACAACCTGCACACGTTGTGCTTCCATGATTCTGCGAGTGGCATTTCATTCTGGCCACCCAGGACCCATCCGCTGAGCACATCGGCTCCTGGTGGGGCTTGTGGAGATGCGTCCGGTCACTGTGCTCTTTTCCATGGCTTCACACGTGATGAGTAACCCTGTCAGGCGAACTTTCCTTTCGAAGCTGCCATTTGAGTTCACTTTGTGCTCTCACGGCGTTGCATTTTCTGATGGACTTTCTACAGGTACGGTTTATACTGGCGAGAAGGGAGAAGCAGGAGCGCTTTCCACATGCAGTGTTACAACATGCTGCAGTGAAGTTGGTTCTTGGAACATAGCAGCCCCCTGAAATGTCAAATAAATCCTTAAACTATTCATCACTCTGTTTTTGGGGTGGCAGTTAAGTCTTTCAACACTCCACAAGTTTCTTTCCCCAGCAGTAATTTCACTGGTGAAGAAATACAGCTCAGGGCACTCCACAAAGGCCTCAAAATTCATGTTTTGTTTTCATTACCAAAAAAAATGCTTCACTATATTAAAGAGCAGCCCATTAAAATTTTGTACCCTGTCTTCCCTGCGCCCTGTCGTTGTTGGCAAACCTTCCCCCATACGCGTGGCGGAGCTGAACAGCAGCCGTCGCCTTGCTTTTGCAGACTTCAGAGAGAAAGGGCAGCGAAGGGGAAGAGGTTTAAGAAGCCCAGCTTGTTTAGGTGTAAGATCTTAAAACTTGCAATAGCCACCCAAATTTACTCAGTAAGTGTACCGTACTGAACCTCAAGCTGCTCTGTCAGTGTTTCCTCTGCTTGCAGTCTAACCCAGCACAGCACACCGGCTCATGTGCATGTCTAAGGAAATAAATTAACTGTCTGGTTCCTGGAATAAAATTTAACACTGTACAAAGCAATATATTTGACCATCTCAGGCAAATAGCCCTAAAATAACAACGAAAAAGAGAATAATTCATTATTTTCTTATAATGGAGGTTTACCAAACCTTGGGATGATAGAAATTAAATGTTGCAGCGTGAACTGGATGGTGTTCTCTGGTACAGTTGAAAAGCTAGAGGTTGAAGAAAAACAGTAAACTTAGTATAATGAGGGTTTAGGGGAGCATTTGGTTATTCTCATAAGTAACTCAGACTAGCTGAATGCTGACACAGGCGCGAGAACAGGCAGTAAAACCTGGAGCTTGCTTAAGAGGGCAGAAAGGTTTCTAGCTGAATTCAGTGGGGACTTGCTAAGTCCAGTATTATTTAATATCTCCACAGTTAATTTAGAAATAAACGGCATGTTAATTAAGTTTACAACTAAATTAGCAAGTTAGAAGATCAGACCGAGGTGCAGCTGTGGAGAGCAAATCTCACCGTGTCGCAAGAACCCACAACTCAAAGCAAGCGGCGAGGAGCAGCAGCGGGGAGCAAACCTGCCCCTTCCCATCGCCGGGGTGGGCGCACGCCTTCCCCCGCCAGGCTGCCGTCTCTTGCATCCGCTTCCCTCGCTGCCGGGCCGGAAAGCTTGGCGTGGGGTGGGGATGCTGGAAGGAGGGAGGCAGCGAGGCTGTGGCCGTGGCATTCGCCAGCAGTGCTGGCCGTTGCCTTTGGCAGGGTTTGGTGAGTTTGTTATCCACGTCAGGGGAAAGCCCTGCCCTGGTCTGGACGAGGGACACGGGAGGATTGCATGGCCACGTCGAAGGGACTGCCGGACAGTGAAATCCAGCAGGCTGCGGGATCGTCTGTCTGGGAAATGGAGGAGTCCTCACTGGCAGGGTTATTTAAGACTCGACTTTGAAACACGAGACACTGCAGTTGGGAACAATGCTGCACTGTCAGAGAGATGGACTCAATTACTTAATAGGTCATTGCTGTCTGTCTCCTGCGATTTTCCTTTCAAGAACATATATTCAGCTGGGTTATTTCTCATGGGAAGACAAAGCGTTTTGAGAGAAGCCAGGCGTTTGGAGGGGAGAGGCGGGAGGAACGGCAGCCAGGCAGATACTCGGGTTGCTTTCTGCAGAGCGTGCTCCTCAGGACGTGCAGAAAGCTGGAGTGAGGTAGCTGATGTGGTATTTTGGTCCTGTAACCAGCTGATCCCCTGGTCTCCTAGGTCTCGCTTCCTTTTCTTTGCTGACAAAAGATTTGCCACGTTGCTTTCTTCTGGCAGACTCTGATCCCCAGCACTGCTGGTGGTGGGACCGTGGTCCCGCAGGCAGTGCTGCAGATGCTGCACAGGCCTTTGGTCGCAGGTTTGCCAAAACATTCAGCGTTGGATGGCCACTTAACCAGCACCGACAGGTCCGTACGCCTCTTCTGGGTGTATGGGCAGCCTCTCCTCTACCATGGAAAGGCTTTGATGGCATTTGATGAAAATGACAGCCAAGCTGGAGGAAAATCTCATGGCCAGGAGCCTGCCTCCGAGTAACTATTTGGCTCTACGTTAGCAGGACATGGTGGACAGGGATGTATAAGGGAGCCGGTGACACCTGCTCTCACCAAAATTACTCTGCCAGCCGTGGGGTGAACGTTTCCTAGGCACTTTCCTTGTTGGGGTCGTGGGCCTCATTCGCAGCCTTGATTCGAGCTTAGTGCCAGGGCAGCGGCGGGGCCCTCGCTGCTGGTGGGGGCACCTGTGTCTGCATGTGCACACGCGCTGCGCGTGGGTGAGCGCGTGGGTGCACACGCGTGTCTAAGGCATCTATCTTTGTGCACTTGTTTGTCACCAAATTAAGACACTGCGTTACCTTATGCACATTGAATTGATGCGACTAAATTGGCTGGATGTTCTTAAGCCCTGAGGCTGTAATGAGATTTTGTCTCTTTTGCCCTTTTCTTTTCTTTTTTCAGAATAAGTCGTCTGTTTAATGGCACAGAGCCTATTGTCTTGGACAGTTTAAAACAACATTATTTCATTGATCGAGATGGTGAAATTTTCAGATATATATTAAGCTTCCTAAGGACATCTAAGCTACTACTCCCAGATGACTTTAAGGTAAGGAAAGCTATAGTCTGCAATCTATTTTTTCCTCCTGTTCTGTCATTTGTTTTGGTGCAGGTTGGTTTGTGTGCTTGACCTAAACACACTTAAGTAAATGTTGCTGTTTATTGTTAGGATTTTTAGTACTTGTGTATTACACCAGGGATGCTGCTATTTAATAAATAGACCAATAGTTGTCATGGATACCGTAAAAAGTTAAATGATGAAGCTCATGGCTAAATCAGTTTTTCTAAACTAATTGTATTTTCTCACATTTTTAGCTTATTTATCAGGGTATAACAACAATTAAGAAGCAACATCAGCAACTAGCACTTGGCAGGGTTTAATGCTCAGAATCTGAAAGAAATGTTTAAAATTTGATACTTAGAGGACTTAGAATCATAGAATCATTTGGGCTGG